GTCATTTTTTCTGTGGGATCTTTTGCTTTTTGATCCAGTTTCAATTGCCCAGATGTTCATTTCATACAGTTAACTTTATACAAAGGGCATCCTTTGTTCCAACAAACACATTGTGGTCATTGTACTCAGCTGGGAACCTAGCGCACAGCAGTTCACCTGTTTCCTATGTAATCCACCATCAATCTACCGACCTTTGTGCTGATTTAATGTAAAATCCTTCATTGGGGAGAGGAGGGATAGGGAGGAGAAATTATGCAAAAATGTTTCCTGGTCCCTAGCCTTGGACTGATTAAGGTCATGCTGCAGGATAAAAAGGCAATAGGGAAAGGGAAAGCTCTTTCATCTTGACCCTTTTGGTGTGTAGTGGAATGGAAAATCACGTTAGTACCTTCAAAGTTTCACTCTGGTGTCTCAGAATGTATTAATGGAGACCTAAGCATCTTTGAGATTGCCACTCCACTCCCTTCCCTATTGCCACCTATAAAGGCTTCATGTTAAGGCAGAGAGGGTGCTTGCCAGTCCCCGTCAGGGTAACTGTCACACAGTGAGAGGCACTGCTTCATTATGCACCCAGGGGCCTGAGGATTGCCCCATTCAACAGATTTCAGGAGGGACAGATCTCAAGGTTATTCTAACTGCCAGTGTCCCATATAGGATAGCCCATTTGCTGTTTGTTAAGCCACGTGGACATTGCATAGACTAACTGTTTAGTTTAACTTAACCTTTAGGGCAGTCATGAGAGCTTAGTTCATGAATAAATTCCATGGAAGACTTTGAAAGAAGATTGTACGTATAAATGCACTGGCTGTTGCTAAAAGATCTGTGGAAGATGAGCAGTGGAAAATTGGACAGAGTTTGAGCAGTATATCATGTAAGAAGGGTGTAACTTGGCAATATATATCTGTGAAGGTTTTTAAATATCTATCTTGGCCAAAAGAGGCCTTCCAAATGACAGCCATCTTGAGCCCAAACGTTCCTAGAAAGATGACCCTACAAAATTGTCCAGGCTGCTGGCAGGGATAGAATTACTGGCAACACGCACAGTGTTTTAATGGCCAAGGTTGAGGCATAAGAGGAGCTACGCTCCACAGCTCACAGCAGGCAAGAGGAGGAGGCCTGGAGAGGAGCTGGCATCAGGCAGTGATTTTTAACATTTCTTTCATTCAGCCAGCTGTAAGACTGCTGGGCAAGATCTGCACAAGGTTGATTTTTGGTTTAATGTGCTGATGTGATTTGCCATGGCCCCCTTGTAGCTCTCTGGTCCCTGGGCCAGGATATCCAGGACATCCACCATATTCTTCGTATGCAAACCTTGGGAAGGGGAACTGCAGATGTCAGCGTCTGCTCCGTCTGCTCAGCTTGGCAAGGAGGAAAGCAAGGAGGTGAGAAGGAGAAAACCAGGGGTCCTGTCCAGTTCTCACTACCAACAGTGGATGGTTAAATAGAAAGGTACAGGTTTTTGTTTTCAGAAAACAGTATTTCCCATAACTGGTCCTGCTGAAATAAGTAAGCAGAGACAGACATTACTCCATACTGCAGCAACTGCAGCACCATAATTCTCCATTTCTCTCTCTCTTCAGTCTATAGATCCCTTGGCACAGCTGTAAATTCCCTGTACACTGCACAGCATGGCTTTCACTGAAAATAGGTGGGAAAACAACATTTCTAGAGCCTTATGCCATTAAAAATATTTTTTTTTCTTCTTCTATGCATCTCCCTATTTTTCCCTGGTCAACAAGGGCTGCATCCAGGCAGCCACCTGCATTCAGTATCAGTCATGTGGAATGCCCATAAACATCACTTCCAGACCGTAATAGTTGGGTTGAAATGAGGCCAAGTGACCAAACCCCTCTACCCTTCCCACCAGCACTCTCCAGCAGTGTGACCTGGGAGGCCTCTCCAGTGCAGGATTTATATCTTGACCTGTCGCAGTGACCGACAGCAGCAACAAGGAGCTCTTTGGGGCAGAGGACAGGGAGGGCGGGTGTGGGGAACTGCGTCTCCTGGGACAAGCTCCAGTCTGCTCCAGGGAATGTGCTAATTTTCACTCCTTTATAGTCCTTTATCTCAGCCCTTCGACCTTGAGCTCAGAGGCATTATCAGCCTTAGCCAGAAAGGCAGTGTGGAGTTAACCATTTAAATGCTGAATGTTTCTGATACTAAGTCCTGAAGGTAAAAACACAATGAATGCAACTTATTTCAATAGTGCAGCAAGTCAGTGGACTTTTCAGGTTTGGTGAGGACTGATTTATGATATTAGGAAAAATATTTTGTACTAAATAGATGATTTTGTGAACTACAGCAGTTTTCAAAGTTCATATGCCCCTACAAAGTTCCTATGGCATGTAGAGACCTCCTGTAAGAATGTATCTTGTGTGCATTGCTGTATGGTGTATATGAACTTGGTTTTCTTACTCACCTTTTCATCCTTACCTGGACCCAACTATTGATATCCAGACCACAGGCAGAAGTTACTGGTCTCATGCTTTCAGTGGGGTCCCTACTATCATGGTAACGCTTAAATTTTCGACTTTACAAAGTATTATACAAACTCTTACCAAAAAAAAAAAAAAGGTAATTTCCTGGAGCAATCTAGATTAATGTATTGCCAGTTCTGCTACTGACTTGTCTGGGTGACTTTGGGCATGTCGTTTAACCTGTGTGTCACTTTTCATGTTTGCAGAATGAGCTAAGAATACTTCAGTGGGCCATCATGGCTATTAATGAGTTACAAATGTGCTTATATACATGTGTGTCTTGTTTGGCAAGATCAGCTTCTCTGTCTTTGGTGCCTGACAAATATTATGCAAGAAAAACAATTCCTTTTCCTTACTGGGAGTGAGTGGTCTCTCCATGAGCAGCAGTAAGTGGGTAGAAGCAGAATTTTTTGCAGAATATTCCTGCTTAATCAGTTCAGTGTTCATGGAGTTAATTTGCTCATGCCTTCAGATTGTTTTGTTTCCAGGGATTCTAAACCGTTGCCTCCAGCTGTTCATTTCCATGGAACGAGGGTGATCTTTATCTGTCTAAACTAGTTAAAACCTGCTCCACTACCCGGCAGCCTTTTTGGAGACAGCCCAATAAAGCTGAGTGCAGTGCCTATGACACCAAAGCCTCCTGGACATCATAAATTCCAATCCCTACTTTTTTTTCTGACCTCTTACTGTTGGAGCACCCCTCCTGTTTTAATGGGACTCTTCGCTTCCTCCACAGCTCCGTTTAACCCCTGTCCAAAAAGGGGAATTATATTTGCATTGTAAGTGGCCAGTGAAGAATCCCTTTTAGACTAGTTTACTACTTTAATATTATCAGATTAAGCCTTGACATAACCTCAAAGGTACCTTCGAATAACTGAAGCACTGTTAGACTTGCACTTAGACTCTGCTCAGTGTGCATGTTGCTTGGAATGTTTTAGTTGAAGCATATTTTTTAAATGTGCTCCATTTAAAGCTTGCTGTGACGTGGTGGGACTTGTAATACCTTTGGGGTCAACAGGGCCACTTCCTCTTTGAACATGAGATGTGGAAGGTTTTGTCTTGAGCAGATGAGATGCAGGTTTGTTAAGCTGATGAGACAACCACCAGATGTACCAAAGAATCTTTCCTGTGATGAAATTCAAATGTCTTGTATACATCAGGCAAAGACACTGTCTATACAAGAGGGAATTGCAAACAACAACAATTTCTGTTGTTGGTAATACCACTACAGGGACCATAGCTAGAATGTGTGCACTAATGTAGAAGTGCCTTCCCTTGTTGCTTCGGTTTCTAACAGCACATTATTTTGGCCTGTGCTGAACAGGGGTACGTAACACAACGGGTAAAATGCTAATGGTCAGTTTGTACTTTAGGCTCTTCCATCTACTACTACTACTGTTAACAGCAGTGGGAAAATTTGTGGCCAGAAGACCTCTCATGAAGACCCAGGCTGAGCTTTACTTTGGAATGTGCCAAGGAGACATTTTCCTGTTGTTTTGTTGCAGATGATGTCATCCTTGCTGTCTGGGGAGTCAGCAAGGCGCGAAGAGTATTGGGAAGTAGCATCCCTGCTCTCTGCAGCAAACAGCTGGATCAGTTCAGATCCAAGCCCATGTGTCTGTGAGAGAAGGCTGTGTAGTCACTTTTCTGCTCAACCGCCTCACAGCAATTATCAGACTATCAGAAGATGGAAAAGGTCTGAGAAAAAGACCAGTTTAACATGTCATTATTGGTCTTTAGCAGCTGTGTGTTACGCTATTGTTACTAATAACCTTTTTAATTTCGCAAGCAATGTTTTCTTGGCACCATTCAAACCTAATGACTGGGGGGTCAAATTCAGCTCTCAGTTGTGTAAATATGGAATAATTCTGTTGGCTGCCTGGTGTTATTTTGCATTTGGCTCATGATCCCTGCCCCTAGGAGCCTGCAATCTAAAATACCCAGGCAGAGTATTCAGTCACAGTATGCTTTGTATACCCAGTTGGTATGCAAAGCATAAAATAAACAGATGAAGAACTACTATCAAATCCATGCAATATAATTATGGTCCTATTGTCCTCTGGTTGAGGGGTTATTGGGTTATTCCTGTATAAATGAGAGCAGGAGTTTGCTTGTTACTTTTTATATGTAATTTACCAGTAGATTATGATTGGAAAGGCTTTCAGGAAAATGTGTTTTTAAAAGGGGTTTTAAATAAAGAGGGAAAGAAATTTGATTGGGATGAGTAGAGAACAAGAATCATTGAACAAAATAGATGTTGCTTAAAGTAAAGCAGCCAGAAAGTCTACCTTAATGGTAAGAAGAGAGACCTTGGCAAATTTATGAGGAGGGTGTTGGGACTGCTGTTTCCCTTTCAACTCTCCAATATAGAAGTTTGTAAGACTCTTATGTAAGGTTCAGTGGTTTTATATGGTAAACAAATTTATCTTGATTTCATTCTTTGATAAGAGGATCTCTCTTTTCTAGCATGGTCTTTATAAAGTTCTCAGCAGTGAAGTGACTAATTGCACTTCTCGTTTTCAGGGATCTTCCAGATAATCCTGCTGTTGAATGGGACACACAGCTCCTCGCCACCTTTGTGCTAAAGCATATAGAAGCCAATAACATCAACCTGGTAACGTGAAACTTGCTAAAGCATATAGAAGCCAATAACATCAACCTGGTAACGTGAAACTTTCTACAGCATAGGCGATTTCCACATTACTTTTGAGCTAGTGTTCGAGGCTTTTTCCTTCCCTCTGAAAGCTTTCTTTGAAGTCTTTAAAGTTAGGATTTTGCTTTTGGAGTCTCTGTGAAATAACTAACCTAGGACAGGCAGAAAGTATACTTACTCATTTTGAAATATTTGCTTTATAATGTTTATCTGTTTCTCTAGCTAGATCTTATGAAGCTCTTTCGGGTTGTAGTGCCACCAGCCTTCACTGAAATAAAAGCTTCAAATTGGTTAAAAACTGCAAACTCTGTTGAAACTAGTAAGTTTCATTGTAGTAGATCTTGGGGTTCATTAACTGTCGAAGACCCTCTGAATAAGCCCAGCTGAATTTCAGGTCTGAAATGATACCTGAAAGCAATTTTGCACTTTGTATTTTTTTAAAGTTTAAGACTTTTTGTGAGTATTTGTACAGCTTCTATGTCTGTAAGTCATAGACATGGTCATTCTGATCCTCTTTCAAACACTTCAAACAACTGCTAGAAGTTCAGAACAAATAGAATTGCTCCACTGAGAATTGTGGAAAAGGATGATAGTGTAGTTTGGAGTTTGGATGTGTCTTTCCTCTCTGGAGATCTTTCTTTGCTTCCCAGTGAGAAATGAACAGTGGAGGAATTTTGCTTTACTAACTCCTCAAATGTTTTCTACATTTTAAAGCAACCATTTTGCCCCTGTTGCTAGGTTTTATTGATGAAGAGAGCCCATCAGGGATTTAGGCTTACATTTAGGCTTAGATTTGAAGTACATTGGCAGGCGTGTGTTAGAGAGCTAGATTAGCAGGGTTATAGGTCGGGATTGAAGAATATTAAACTGTGGAGATTTCCTAGCGCTGGTATAGGGTGTTTTTTCCCACAGAACAGAATAAGGGCCTAAGCATGGAAAAGGTTGTGTTCTGTTCTTTTCAGTTGAACCTTGCTGTGATCAGGCATGTCACTGTCACACACTGATTAGCAGCAAAATCACAAAACTTTTAAAGTCTTTCAGCAATTCACAAAACAAGAAACCACATCTCCTGTAGCATGAAAGGCGCATAAGCACAAAAAACAGCATCACGCATCCAACTCTGTATTGATTCTGAGGCTAATTTTCCATTAAATTCATTGCTGTGCACAGAGACAAATGCAGTTTTCCTAGACTCCTTTTGTGCCTTTTGGCCCCATGAATAGGTAGGTTTTAATCTAATCTGAAAGCTCCCAACACAATAGGATTTGTATTACATGTTTGTGACTCTCACGGGCACCAAGACAAGTGCACCAGAATCCCAGTAGAAATTCTGAAAACACTAGAACCCCTCTAGATGGTTAGAAAGGGTTAGAACTTTGCCTCAGAGGAAATTAAACTCAAGCTGTTTGTGCTGGGGGAGGCAGGAGTCTGCCACTAACATAGCCTGAGCTGAAGTCAACTGCAGGGTTTTCAAAGCAAGAAACATGCACAATCACTAGTAGTCTCCCTGGTGTGCTGCAGGTGTTGGGTGTAGCTGTAGTAACGAGGAACACTGCAGCAGGGCCCACTGCATTCCCCTCAGCACTTCCCTGAGCAGCAGTGAGGACAAATTACTGTAGCAGAACATGTCACCAGTACCAAAGGCCACTGAAGCAGCTTCTCAGGGATGGTGGTAATGAACTGCTCTGTAAACGTACATTATTTTAAGTGTCCCAAGTAATCACACAGGTCTCAGATGTTTGCTGTAATACCTTTCATTTAGGAGCAGACCTAGTTTGCCAACAACGGCAAGGCAAGTGCCTAATTACCTTTGTCCGACATTCTGCATTCTAAAACTTCAAAGCTTGCTATCTGTTAGCCACTCTTAGAGCATCTCTGCTGTCCTGAGGCAATGGCCTTGCCTTGAAAGGTAAATTGAGTCTATTTTTCAGTAATGTTGAAATTGATAGAATTGGTTTAACATGTTAAAAGAGCCTTGTCAAAACATAAGCTAACAGGGTTTCAAACACAACAAGCTAACTCAATGGAGTTAACATGATTGGAAGACATGTATTGTTTTAGCTATCCCAGTGGGAAAACTTTCCCCAGTTCTCCCCGTAGTCATAGCATAGACAATGGTATCTTCTATTTACAGAACGTATGTGTCATCTGGCAGTGGAGAAGCAGGCTGCAATTCCAACATGTCTGAAAGGAAAGATTGCAAGGCAAGGAGTCACACCATGTTATGCGTAGTTTTGTTCCATTGCATAGTTACTCATTTCCTCAATTGCCCTGGAAGTCCATGAGTAACTCAATCTATTTGAGAGCTACAGGGACATATTTCATCCAAGCTCTACATTAAATAGTGCAGACACAGAAATTAACAGTTGGTGTACTCAAAGCCAAAAGTAATTTATAGACTTTGGAAATTATTTCCTGCCTGCTGGATTTATAAGCAAAAGCCAGTGTTGCTGGGACAGGCAGCCAAGGCTAGTCTGTCTCAATCTAGATTAGTAAGTATTTGGTGTGTAAAAAATAAGTTACACAGTATTGTGTGAGCCCCAGGCAGGCTCTAGATTATGAAATCCTACTCTTCAGGATCTCAGGTTTGGTGATAGCAGAGCTTGGATTAGGAGGTGACATTCAGATTATGTTTGGGGCAGATGCAGTGCCAAGACCAGAATTCAGCAATACCACGTTCTTACAAGCTGCTTTCCACTGTGGATTGATGGAAACATCATCTGTACAACTGTTTGTGGAAGAGTCCCATTGTCTTGAGTCAGCTCTGCTCCAAATCAGCCTAGAAAGCCAGATCCTTCTACAAATGGCATTCAAGTTGGAGCTTATATTTGAGAGGGAGAGTTCAGCTCTCATGTTTTGGATCTCGGCCTCCACACTCTCCTAAAATTTGGGAGCATTTGAGTGTGTGATGTTTGTAGAGGATTTTAAATGCTTTTGCAGAATACCAGATCTGGAGTGCAGCACGTGGAGCTTGCTAGAGGAGGCAACAGAGCTGGGACAGACTTTGGCATCCCTTTTCCTCCTTTCCTCACTTATATTACAGTCTCCTCAGGTGAGCTTTGGGGTACACGAGTGGGAGGCCTCCAGGACCTTTCATTCTCAGAGCTGGTGCATGACTTACATGCTTGCAGCTCAAACCCAGTGGACACTGGGATGTTGACCATGATTAGATTTTTTCTTTTTTCATCTAGTTGTCCATTCTTTTTAGTCTTTAGCTTCTCTGATTTGGTAGCAACAAGAGACATCTCCAAAGATGGAGGATCCCAAGAGGATCAAAGGGAGTTTGAATGTCACTGGCCTCTGCAAGTGTAAGTCGGGCCTATGAAATGATGCTCAGAGGAAGGCCATTAGAAATGGAGTTGCTTGCTATGGCATTTTATGGGATGGCCCTTCTTAAAAAGAGACCTTTCTATCCCCACCAGTCTACTTGAGCAGATGTGTGCTCTGTTTGAAGCATTGGATGATGCCAGAAAGAGTGAGGGAGACCCACAGCTTTGAGTGCTTTTTTCCTCCGATGCACATGGTGTGTAGAGGGAGCATGGACTCCAGACCTCTCAGGAGTTTTCTCTTCTGCTAGTAATTAGGTAATTTCCTCTGTGCTCTCCCTCCTCCGGAAGGGATTTCTGGACCTGTTTGTCTTGGCTGTTGCTCTGGCTTCCACTAGTGAAAGCTGCATTTCCTGAATACCAAGGTCACCCAGAAGAAAACCCAGCAACACCAACAGCAGCGGCTCCCATTTCAGAACAGGTGTGGGGAGGGAACTCCCTCTTGCCCTAAAGATTTCATTGAGCAATAATTTCCACATCAAGTATATTTCCTATCCCAGCCTTTTGCTCCCTGAACTGGCTAAGCCTGTTTTTAACCCAGCAGTTTCAAGATGTTCAGGTTTTCTCATCCTGCCCTGATTATTTGCTTGATTTCATCATCAGCCTGGTTCAGGTTATGTGCTAAAAGCAAGCACATCAGCTAGCTGCACCATGTGGAAGAAGCAAATGCTCCCGTGTGAAAGTATCTTCAGCATGTGAGAAAGAAATTCAGATTTATTATCAATGAAATGAATCCCTGAAGCCAGAGGAATATATTTACATGTGATTGCTGCCAGCTTTAAGTCACGAGCACCACAGTGATGCTGTGGAATCACTGCCCTGTTTAGACAACAGACCTAGAAGCTACATACTGGATAGGTGGGACATCACTACTGTGTCACAGCCAGCCTGTGTGCTGGGAGGGATCTCTAAAGGTGAAGAGCCAATATTTCAAAGGTGTCCTCTTTGCAGATAAAGTGAATGCCACCGTGGCCAGGTCAGTGTGCAGGTACCTTGGGAATTGTACTTACAAATTTGTGTATTTGAAGAGACGGGCAATTCAGGTGCAAATGTCCTAACAGTAAATTAGACAACATCAATTGAAAATTAACTCCATGCAATCTCTTTAGCTAGTTCAGATGTTATGTAAGCCCAGCAGCACTAAGAACAGCAGCTCCTATTTCAAAACAGATGTGGAGAAGAAAAACCTCCAAAGGTGTTTCTGAACAGATAATTTCCAAGTCAAGAATGTTTCCTAATGCAGCCTTGTGCTCCCACAGTTGGCCCGAGCCGGTTTTGTCAAAATAATGATTAGCTTATTTAATCTGCTCACTATAGTCTCTTACCTCAGTCTTCTGGTTTGTTCTCTTGTACCCTCCATAGAAGCGAAAAATGTGTGTTTTGGCTTGCCTGGGGTTTTTAGCTTGGTTTCCTAAGGAAACAAGAATAATGCAATTGTATTTATATGTGTGCACATGCATGTTTCAAAAGACTCCAGAGCCCATTGGCTAATTTCAACCACGTTTGACAGCAGGGTACTAGTCTTAAAAATGTTACGTTTGTACAGGTTACATGAAAATAAATGATCAGGCAGAAGAGACAAACCCTCTCTCTGTCCCCATTTAGGAAAAAGGTTTAGTACAAGTCCAGCCCTTAACAGACTCACCTGCATAGGAATTTATTCTGCCTGCAGTCAGTGGGGTACATTGTCATCTTAGGAAAAGTGCCACTCTAGGTAGGAGTGACTTCAGAGCATGTTTCTTCTTATCTGTAAAATACAGGGTGCTATGCTGGTTCCCTGAGCTGTACAGAATGTAATGGCTTTCCCAGGTGAGCTACTCAAAAAGCTGATATTCTTAGGGAGGGCTTAGCACCATGCCAGACCATGCAGTCCCTGCAGAGTGTCTCTCAGGTAATGCTGATGTACTGCAAAAGCAGGCAAAGACATAATTTTTCTCCTTATACAATAAGGGTTGACCAGAAAATGCTTCTTTGTACCCGAACGAAACCAAATTGGGTCCCGCCACTTCCTGCCATCAGTGAATAACCCCGCTGCTTGGTGGCAGCATTATTACAGCCACTGGGCAAAGTGGAAAGTCTAACTGTGGACTCATATTGGGTGGATAGGTTTATAAGCAGGCTTGCCTGGAGTTTGTGGGTTTTGAAGTATTTCTTATCACTGTCTTTGTGTTTCCTCTCCCTCTTTGCACAACATCTCCTGTGTTTGAGAGGGCCTCTCCTGTTGGAGGGTGGAGTAGCAAGTTGCAGGATGGGCAGGGCGGCTTTTGATCTTCCCTTGATCTTTAACCCAGTACTTCAGGTCCTGCGTATAAAATAGATTTTGAGAAGGGAGCTGTGGTGAGTAAGCCAGGCAGTAGCATTTCCTTCCCTGAAGAGAGAATAAGCTGGCAAGGAAGCAGACATTGATTGAAATGTAGGGAGGTTATGATTTCTTCCTGGTCATAGAGAAGGGAGCGGTGGAGAGCTCTGCTGCCTGGCCTGTCCCAGAGCAAAAACCTAACTTTAGAGCGTCCAAGGACTGTCACTTTCACCATCTGGAAAGCCTACCAGCACACATTCCCTGTCTGCTCTACACTTTGCGCTGCCAGTTTGTCTTCCAGGTTGGTAAGCGGGAGCCTTTAAGTACCCACTTCACAGTGTTGGGCAGAGTGAGCCCTTAGGGTGGATGCTTCACCCCTGAGGCATTATTGTAGGTCTGAGGGCAGGGAGCCAAGGGTATTCTGTGCTTTGGATGGTGACTTGTTAGTGCTGTGTTCACACATTACTTCTGCATTATGAAGTTCCCATTTCTCCCTGCAAAGAAGCAATAAACAATATGATCTTCTCATTCAGCGCAAAGCCTGACTTGCTTGTACAAAAATTGCAGTCAGCTGATTCTTTAAAAAGGCTTGTTCTCATATCAGATTATTTTATCACTATGTTATCCTGTGATGAAGCCTCGTTACAATCAGGACAGTGGGACATGATTGTGTTGCTCTTGTTCAAGCAGTATGTCCTGATTCACAGTACAACAAACTGTAGTTTCACCCTGTAATCCGCAGGCATTCTAGTATGTTCTCAAATCCAGGAGACAGTGATTCACAGAGCTGGACCTTTTGGGTCAGGAACAAGTTTGCAAAAGATCACTCTGAAAGTAACCTTTTGGCCTGGTAATAAGTAACAAGTGCATCCTGCCAGTGGGAACACGGTATTTGTCATTTTTCTGTTGTTCAAGCTGTTAGACTGTGTAGTCGTCTAGTTCCAGAGTGTCATGTTTGTATAGTTGTATTTCTGTAGCATGAGTTCACACACAAGGCCTCATTGTGCAACATAAAACCAACTCTTTAGATACAATGGGCTGGGACAGTGCTGTGTTAGATGTCAAAGTTGGTAACTGCACAGTCTCCTCCTTCTTCAAAATGATTATTGTTCTGTGGTTTTATTGCAGGTGGTAACCTTTGATGCGGGAGGAGTGAGTGGTCACGCTAACCACATTTCTCTTTACACTGCTTTAAGGTACAGTGTTCTTCACGCTTCATGGAATGCCTCACTATAGTGTTACAGAGTGAATGTGGTGTTTGTGTGTAAGCAGAAAACTAATAGCTAGAGCCAAGAGCAGTATTAACTTCACTGATATAACTGAGTGCCAGGCTGTGGGACACGATACTATTTGGAGAAACTCTTACAGCTCTGTACATGAGCTGCAGCACCCTTTATTATTCCATCTGCTGGTGCTTTGCCGGTCTCTCTTTCACTGGGCCCTCTTTGCTTTTCCTGTCCCCAATCCCACTAAAATATGCCACAGATCACTTTGCACCTCTGGTTTGAGGAGAGCGTGTGAATAGCTGATGCCTGAGCTCTGGTGGTAGTTGGATTTTGGAAAGTTCTGCACCATTGTTCCAGAGGATGTTGCCATCCTGTCCAGGTACCTGAATTTACCTCTCTGACCCAAGGACATTGCTCTTTCCAACTCTTCCTAAGTCAACTCATTCCTTCATCACTTTATTCTTTACATTCTGAGAATCTCTGTCTCCGTGATGTGGGAAGGTTGCCAGACAAAAATCCCTGGTATTAAAATCACCCAGATATTGCTGGCAAGACAGCTACAGTATTTTATTTTAACCCTCTGCACACCCTCTGTGTCCTAGAGAGATCTCCCCCAGAGCTGCCTCTGCCTTTCCCAGGCATGAGAACTCCTCCTTGCAAGTATATCTTGTATTTTTAGCACCCATTTGTTTTCTGAATCATCTGTGCAATTCAGATAACTCTCTGGCTCTCCTTGCTAACAACATCACAGTGATTTGCCTTTCTCACTTGCCTAGAAAAAGCTGCAGTGCCACAGAACCCATACTGTGACCTCCTGAGCTCCTCTAGGAAGATGCTGAAAGTCTTTGATGCTATCTGATGGCTGGAATTCAGTGTTAGAAGGGATCATGGCTTTTCCCAGCAACTTCTGGAATATCCTAGCAGAAGGAAAGGGGGTGGAGTTAAAGCAAACTCTGTTTGTTTGGGCTAAGTGGGGAGATGCTTTCCGGCACAATGTTATTTGAGGAGTGAGTGAGGAACAGAGGTTGATGACCGATGGTCACACCATTGGCACAGAGGGACTAGAGAGCTTCCAGCTGCCTGAACCTCAGTGTTTGCTCAGTCAATTGCCATACGGCCTGCAAATAGAAATGGAGGGCAGATTGTTAGGTGTCCCCCTACATCCTGAAGAGATACAGGGAAAACAAGCTAGCAGCTGAATTATGCATGAGAAAGTTAAGGAAAACTCTCAATTTTAATCCCAGCTCTACTGTTGTCTCTCTTTGTGGCTGTGCAGAAATCACTTTCCCACCTTTGTGCTTTAGGTTTCCTGTGTATGCAGTGGGGATGTTAACCCTCTTCTTGTCTCAGAGTATGTTACTAGCAAGTATTCATTATATGCAAGCCCCTTGAACTCAGATCTTTGCATTGGTCATTAGCCTACAGCAGAACATTGTCCTGGGCTGATGAGATACATGCTGATAGGGACACCAGAGTATATAAGCCGCTCTCATTAACTAAGGGCTGGTTTGTTTCTTGTCTCTCTTCCAGTCCTGAATCAGCAGAAATAAGCATGGTGGCCCAGTCATCTGCATGTGGCAGGAGTGATGCTGTGGCCATTGAAAGGTTAAGTTTATTTTTAGTGGCTTGCTTGCCCTCATTATTTTTCAGTTTGTGTCATGGAGGAAGTAGAGCGTGATTGTATCACCCCTGATTTTCAGTGCCCTGATGAGTTCTCACATATTGGCTAGTATAGGCAGTGCTGGGAGCATATGCTGAGGCTTCTCATGTACCTCCCTGCCAGCAGGGCTTTGCAAAGCAGCGGTTGCGGCCCCTGGGGCCCCAGTGCTACATGGCAAGAAAAAGGCAAATGAACTCTCCCCTCTAGGTGTCATGTGCAATGTATTTATTAACCATCTTTAAACAAGGTCTGCAGGGTTCTGCCTCCACTGTGGATGTAAGTGGAAAGGATGAAGCAGAGGGCTGATGCAGTGATCCTCAGCTCTTTTGGATGTTCCCAGTCTGTGGGAGATAGACTTGTGCCCACTACCTAAGAGATTACTTTCTGCAAGAGCAGGGGTAGAACAGGCTGTGTGACCCATCCCACAACTCCTTGCTTCAGGAGGTGCAAATTATTGAACACCTTCAAGGAACAAAACAGTTCAGGAAATGGTCATAGCTGAGCAAATGCTCAGTATTATCTGCTAAGGGCATAAATATTCTTTCTAGTGTCTGGAACAGAGGTTATGTTCAAAGGAGCAGGAACTATTCAGAAGAAATGTGCACTTCCCCTTGCAGTAACCTTCCTCCTGCCAGCTTGCAGGGAGTCCAGCTGCTGCTATGTGTCTAGGCTTCAGATCTGGGAGGAACTGTGAAATGCCAAGGTTTTAGGGTGGATTTGTTCTTCTGCAAGGGAAAAAGAAGAAAAAACAGGATGGGGGAGGAACACAAATTGCTATTTGATTTCAGTCTCCCCTGGGAGTATTTCAGTTCTGGCTTCCAGACGGGAAAAAAAACCCAACCCAAACCCAAGAGAATCCCACTATAGCAAAGAAGGGAGAATTAGAAGCAATCGTCTGTAGCTCTGCTTCTTTCCCTGTCACCTTGATTTGGCAACATCATTCTCTCTTATCCCCCAAAATAGGAGCTTTCCCTATGGCCAAGAGAGGTGGATCCTGTACATGCATCCACAAGGAAGAGCAGGTCTTGAGTGACATCAAGGTCACTTTACTCCCCCCTCAGCATTTGGCCGGTCACTTGGCACTACGGTAATAAGCATGGTAAATACTATGTGACAGGAATATTTGATAATCTCTCTTTCCTGTACTTTGAAATGACAGTGTTTGCACTGAGATCACATGTAATATCGAGGTGGTTTAGTTTTGCATGAGTCACTGCATTTTGATTTTAAACAAGCCCTCTTGCCCAGTAGCCTAGCAAATGGGGGGCTGTTGGTTTTGTTGTTCGCGTGCTTGCTTAGGAGGGGGAGAAATGGTCTTTGTGAGGGGGAGGAAGGACTGTACCACTTCTTTTCTTCAGTGAGCTATCAAATCCATTTCATCCCAGCTAGAACAGAAAAGAATAGTCCTTGTCTGCTTAGGGCAGAGCAAACTGAGTGGAAAATAGGAGCTGCTATATTTAACCACTGTGCATTATGTTGTTATAGCAACTGCATCCATAAAACTTATATCAATGATGCCATATAAAAAGCTACATCAAAGAATCATTAGCTGAGCCTATTCTCGTCAATTCCATTTGGAAAAACACCTCTCAGTCCTGCAGGATGTTTCTTAACATTTGCCAACTCAGTGGTAGGTTGTAAATGAGACTGTGCAGAGGTGATATTTGGGAGCTTAGTGCTTTATCACTCTTGAGTTGATTATGATGCAGCTTGAGTGCCACCGATGCCTTGTTGCACTTACATGTCACAGCCTGACTATTGAATGCCCCATTTATGAATGCCATGGGACATAGCATTGTGCAGAAGGGTTGCACTGAGGCTCCCTGAAAGAGGAGGATTGATTAAATGCCAGTTTCAGATAAGTATATCGAAACAATGAACAGTCCGTTGTCCAGCTAAATCCCACAGTCTTGGTGGGTGCAGTTCTCAAAATGTACCAACTGCATTACATCCCTACAAAGCACAGTTCTGCTTGTATTGAATTTCCAAGGACAGGTCTTTAAGGATGTGTTGAGCAGGAAGCAAGCTGTTTCTTGGGTGTTTAGTTTGATGATAATGAATGGTACCCCATCTACCATTTTTACTTGATGCCTTCTTACAGCATGGGGCTAGAATGGGACTCTGATCTCATATTCCTTTTAAGCAGCTGTAGCCCGTGCATTTCAAATGAGTGGCATCTCATTTATGTTTTTAAAGCAGGGTGCTGTTTTCTATTTCCCTTGCCTTTTCCCAGAAAATCCTTTTTTCAAAACTGGTTATTATTTGCTCCATCTTGGAAAAGGATTTCCTGTGTCACTGATGTGTTTGTTTGCGATTGTTTAGCCCCTGCTGGAGTTCTAGGTTCCCTGCGAAATAAGGTAGAGTGTTGAAGAACTAACAGGTTCCAGTGTCTTATATTTCAGCTTGTCCTTTCACAGTCCAGCTCACTTCTGGTGTTTTGTTTTACTGATCTTAAATGTCTCAGGGGGAACTTATGAGTGGTGGCTGTGATTGCACCCAGACTGCCCCCATAAGGTCAAGACAGAGTTGTCCTCCTCTGTTTACCCTTTGAGACTCTGTCCCTTCCCCTCAGAGGACTCTGCCCCATGCCTGGCATATATCCCATAGCTGGGTATGTCGTCCTAGATTTTATCTCATTCCTTCACCCCTGCTCCCTCCTTCCTTAAATTGATTAAGTTTATTCATCCCAGTGCCCTTCCATGATACTGTTGAGAGCGTTAGGATAAAGTTGAGCACAGGGCACCAGCATTGCAGGGATCCCCCCCGCCACCCAAAGAAGTTTTCTTTCCAAAGAAACAGCCTCAAAGAATGTCCTTCCCAGCCTCACTAGGCTGCTAGCAGCATGAGTGAAGCAGTGACACTGCACATTCTTCTCCCAGACAGTGCAGGGGCCAAAGCACAGAGCCACAGAGCAGCTCTGTCAACTGGAAGATCTCTGAATCGAAACCTTTTTTTCTGACTGGCAGAACCATCTTTTGCCACTGCAATACACGTGAGTACAGAGTGCCTGAATAGTATTTTACAAACTGCATGTTGCTACATGGTGTAGTTCAGGGTGCATGGAAATGGAGCCAGAAAGTCCGGTTAGGGAGGGAGGAGGCGTTCCAGATAGCAAACATTCAACATCTGGCAAGTATATCCCTCTAATGTCTCTGTGATTCCTAGGAGACTGGCTGTTCTTCCTCTTTCACATCTGTTTCATCAGATTAATTGGGCAGATTAGAGGTTAGGATCCTAAATGGAGCCCCAACGCATCTTTAAGACATCCATTCTTTGCCATGCTTTTCAAAATTGTATTTCCCCCGTGCTC